TTTTCACCCCCTGGCCGGCCCTCTTTCACTCTGATCTCAGAAACCTTTACATGTTTCGCTTCATTCATGGCTTGCTTTCTTATTCTTCCTTGGCTTACCCATCTTGCCGCAGGGTCCAATGGTTCTTGCGTCTACTTTTTTGATAGCTCTTAAAAGTTTTTTTGGTTTTGTTTTGGACCACTTCCTCCTGTGGTCAAGGCTGATTCCTGGCTTGGTGCTTAGAGAACATTCCTGGCAGTTCTCGCTAGACCGTAATGGGACCGAAATAAGGTTGGTTGTGTGCATGGCAAGCGCCTTAACCCCTGTACCTTCTCTCTGGTGCCTTGCTTGAGTCTTAAGTGCAGAGGAGACAAGACCATAAAGGAGAGCCTGCATGATTCCAGGGTGGGGAGAAAAGGTGACATGTTTTAAATTCTAATTAATTTTAGTTTGGGGACCATATCTGGCTGTACACAGGGTTTGCTCCTGGGTCTGTGCTCAGGGCTCACTTTTGGTGGTGCTCAGGGAACCGTATGTGGTGCCAGTGATTGAATCAGGGTTGGCTACATGCAAAGCAAGTATCTCATCGATGTACGATCTCTCTGGCCCTTTTTAAGATTTTTTTAAAATTTTTTTCAAAGGCAGCTCCAGGGGCTGGAGAGATAGCACAATGGGTAGGGTGTTTGCCTTGCACGCGGCCAACCCGGGTTCGATTCCCAGCACCCCATATGGTCCCCGGAGCACCGAGCCAGGAGTGAGTAACCCCTGTGCATTGCTGGGTGTGACCCAAAAAGAAAAAAAAAAGGCAGCTCCACCTCTCATGGGACTCCAGGGGTCTTTGCATTCCACTTTTACTCCTCCCATCCCATCAGTGAAAACAGCTCTCTGCCCCGCCCCTCCTTCTTTCCTCTTGAAATCCTCTCTCCAATGACTGCAGTCTGTTTGTTGTGACACAGTTCATGGTTACACACGCTTTGTCACCATGCACTGGACTTATGGCTTAGGGGAAAAAATCTTGGTTTTTCTCTGAGATTCCATTTCCTCATTCATTCCTCCCACTGAGTACAAAAATGTCTGAAAGTCTGCCGAGGACCAACACCAAAACTGGCTATGCAAAATTGATTACTGTCTGGCCCACCATTGTAAAATGGAGGAGAGGAAGTGTCTCACACGAGGATTATAAATATTAGCAAGACGAGGAGGGACAGGAGGGACATTAACTAGTGTGTAGCAAGCTGCTCAGATAGTGCCAGCTTTCACTCTTGAAGTCAGGCCAGGAAAATTGGATCCTCCTTTGGAAGGTTTATTGTTTGTTTGTTTGTTTCATTTTTTTCTTTTGATTATCCAGATCTTCCACCTGTATTTCTGACTCTTACCTGAAACCCCTCCCTTGCCTTCTATTTTTTGTTTGTTTGTTTTGCTTTTTGGGTCACACCCGGCAATGCACAGGGGTTACTCCTGGCTCTGTGCTCAGGAATTACCCCTGGCGGTGCTCAGGGGACCATATGGGATGCTGGGAATCGAACCCAGGTCGGCCTCGTGCAAGGCAACTACCCTACCCGCTGTGCTATTGCTCCAGCTCCTCCCTTGCCTTTTAAACAATGGGGGTGTGAGGGGGGATGCTTAATTCAACCTTTCTCATGTTTTCTTTCGATCCCAAACATATAAGCACTTCTGTTATATCCATTTGCAAGTGGCCAGAGGGGCCGGTGGTGTCTAACCTTGGTGCCTTGGAGGCCCTGTAGCTGCCTCCCTTTCGTCCTCCTGGCCAAGCACCTTCAGGGCTTCCCTTCTCTCTGTTGAATAGCCGGTTGTCTCTGTTTTCATGTGCACCTTTCTTACCTCAGGGATAAGCTCGGCCTCATCTTTGTGGCAGTCAGTCATGCAGGAGGAAACAAGGGCCCCTTTCAGCAGATTGTGTCAATGTCTCTCTGTCTGGGAGGGCTGGGAACCATGAAGTCCTTCAGACTCTGGACTAACCAGAGATGGAGAATTTTGTCTTGAACAGCCGGATCGGTTATTTACTGAAACTGTGCTTATGTTCCTTTTTGCTGACAATAATTTTCTGAGCTACAGAGTATTTATAATTGACTTATATTCTGGGATTTCTGATTCCAGAATATGTGCAAGTCTAAATGCTTCTTTTAATTATCACTGTTTCATTTTTTAATTACTGTTATTATTAATGAATCACAGTGAGAAACACAGTTATGAAACTGTTCATGTTCAGGTTTCAACCGTACAGTGTTCTAAAACCCATCCATGGCTCTACCATTGCACATTTTTCCACCACCAGTATGTTCAGTTTTCTTCCAGCCAGCCTGTCTATATGGCAGTCTCTTTCTGTCTCTGTCTCTGTCTCTCCCTCTTTGTCTCTCTCTGTCTCTCTGAATTCCAACTATCTTTGTTGTAGTGGCCACTTCTCTATCCTAACTTCCTTTTCCCCCAGTCCTTGAAGCAGGCTTCCAATTGTGGACCAGCCCTCCTGGCCCTTGTTTCTACTGTCCTTGGGTGTCAGTCTCATATCATGTTCTTTTTATGTCCCACGAATGAGTGCCATCATTCTCTGTCTGTCCCTCTCCTTCTCACAGAAGCAGAAGATAGACTTCAGTCTCAACACTTCCAACTTCTGCTGTGATCCTTTCTATCTGGATGTGAATGCATGATTATAAATCAGTTTGTGATGGTTGGCCTTTAATGCAATTTTTTTCTCAAGTTGTATTAAAAAAAATCTACTCATTTCTGTCTCTCACCAAAATGAAGGTAAAGATATTCTGCTAAATCTCCCCTAAAGTGAATGCAATGGCAAAGAGCAGGACTGAGCAGACGGGCACCCCTAAAGCTTAGGACGTTCCCCAGAAGTTAGTCTTATTTTGTAATACTTGGGCTCATTTAGGTGGTCAGTGTCAAATGAGTTATGAATTTCTTACTTGTCGAAGAGCTTTGCTTGCACTGGCGAATGCATCCCACCGGGGCCCAGACACCATGCCTGTCCAACTGGCTGGGTTCTGGATGGTCCCCAAACTGGGAGTTTGGTCAGGAGCCAATAGAACCAAGCGTGAGTGACAGAGGCCAGTGTGTGGCCTGCCAGGGTTAAAGGATTTACTCTTCGCCCCCCCTACCTGGAGGGCAGGGGAAAGGACCACTCGGGATCTCGACTCCCGGTGCTTTCTGACGCTTAGGTTTTAGTGATAGGAAAGACAAATCATAACAGGATGATTCACTTTCAGGTTTAAGAATGAGCAGGAAAAAAATATGTTGGTTATGAATGAGGCTGACTGGAGGGAGGCGATCCAAGGGTGGGAATTGAGGTGCAGTGTGAGGGGGTCTGGGTTAACGAGCATCCTGCCTGGCAGTGTGTGCAGGTGGGTGGGTCCACCTGCTGGCCCCGTGGCTCCACTCCCATTGCCCCCCCATGACTCCTTGTTCAGGTCTCTGGAGACTTGACGGTGACGGTGCTGCCCAGCAAGTCCCCTGGGACACCTTCTTTTAAGTCAGGACTTCTAACCTTCCCCACTAGTGACCCTTTTTGTCCAAAAATAGACAGCAGGGGTGAGCCTTGCCAGAAATACCACGATTCATTATGTGGTTGACTTGATATCAATGTTTGGTCATTGCATGTTCAGAAACCTGAAAATCTCATGCCTGATATTTTTGCAACCCACCCCTCCCCCTAGTTGAGTTATTTAACACCTTACAGGGTCGTGACCCAGAGTTTAAGAAGCCAGATTTTAAATTAACTTTACCTTCACACCCACCACACACAATTACCTGAAGTTGCTTCTGTTATCTCCCCACTAGATGTAAACTAGCGTGAAAACAAGAACTTGTGTAATCATACATCTCTGTTTTGTTTCATTTGGGACCCACACCTGGCTGTGTTCAGGGCATATTCCTGACTCTATACTCAGGGAATCACTCCTGGTGAGGCGTGTGTGTGTGTGTGTGTGTGTGTGTGTGTGTGTGTGTGTGTGGCGGGGAAGGAGTGTCATAGGGGGGTCAGAATGAAGCCCAAGTCAGTTGCATGCAAGGCTAGTACTTCCCACTGTATTCTTTCTATGGCCAACACCTTTGGCTAATTGCCTTATGAGTGAGGCTCAACTGTTAAAAGACCTGTGAACTAAATATTGGATTCCATCAACCATTGTGAAAGTCAAAATGTTTTTCTCTGGCAAAGCAGAATCTTAAGTTTCAGTTGTCTTATTTCTCTCCTTTGAGAAATAAGTGTTCCCTGTCCTTTCCTTCCTGCTCCAAGCACACACTTTCCTTTTTTGTTTGTTTTTTTTCTTTGTTTGTTTTGTTTTGGCGGCACCTCCAGCAGTGGTCGGAGCTTCCTCCTGGCTCTGCACTCAGGAATCACTTCTGATCAGGCTCAGGAGACAATGTTCAGTGCTGAGGATCAAGCCTGGGTAGGCCACAGTCAAGGCCAGTGCCCTTCCTGCTTAGGCCCTGAGGCTCTTTCATTTCTAAAATAACTTACCTCTTTCCCCATCCTCCATTCAACTGATCACCCAAGCACCAGGAATGAGCTTGGATTTTGCCTACGCCCTCACATGAGCCTGTCCAATCCTTCAGCGCCTACCTTGAAAATCAGTTACCCCATTCTCGTCATTCACCTATTTGACTTGGAGCAAAACTGAGTTAAAAAAATTCTGAGCTCACAGCTCTGCATGAAACTGATGTCTTGTTGCCTCAGCTTCTCCCTTTTGGGGGCTCTTTTTTCTCTGTAGCTTGTTGAGTTACTCACTGAAATTCATTGTTAATCTCATCAACCTTGTGACTATATAAACTGATTGCAGTGGCAGTTTGCAAAGAAGATCATGAAATCACTACTTCAAAAACACCCCTCTTCTGATTTTCGTTATCATGTTTGTGATAGCAGAACTTAACGGTAACAGGTAACTGACTTCGTGATACCCTTAGTTAAATGCTAGTCCTTCTCCTAATTTTGGGAAGGACCTTGATAATATGTTGCTTTCTAATGACGTTAACTGGTGTTCATTTTCTCTTTTGCCCTGCAGAGTATGAGTTGGAAGTAAAGAGAGTGCAAGACATTCTTTCGGGAATAGAGAAACCACAGGTATGTCTTCTGGATTTCTCCACATAAATGACACTTTCTTAAATATTTCAAGTGTGCTTTTCTTTCACCGCATAGTAAGTAAGCAAAAGGGCGCCTTCCTATTGCAGATTATTCATGAACTCTGAAATAGTGTTGTTATTAATGGAGCTTGAAAGTATGGAACAGTGGTCTTCTGTTGAGTCAGAATCCATCGAAATGTCTTCTTTATTTAAATATTCTGAATGCACTTGATTCTTCTTCCCAACATCCAAGGCTGATTCTGCCCTCTGCGCCTCCCTTTGCTGCCCAGGTCTACAGAGCAGTTTTCTTTTGCTAATTCCTTTTTACCTATGTAAATTTAGCAATAATAATTTTGGGAAACCTCAGTAATTCCAAATATTTTTCCAGGTAACTGTCAAAAAGATACTAGTAACTGAAAAATAAGTCCAAATAGTGAGTGCAGTGGGAAGGGGGAAAAGTAGGGGAAATGATGATTATTGGAAGGTTTAAAGTCTGTTTTTTTGCTAGGTGCTTTGGAATTCAAGTGAAAAGTTAACATTGTTGATTCATTCTTTCATCTGAGATTAGAAGAACCAGAGTTCTTTGGAGTATTTTCTAGCTGAATTGGAAAACCTTGATTCTTCCCTGTTTCAAAGGCTTTTTTTTTTTTAACGGAAGAGTGCAAACACACCCCAGAGCACATTTTGAATTTGACTAAACCCAAAAGCATGAAGGGGTGTTGGAGGGCTGGTACAATAAGGCACTTGTGGAGGGAGTAGAGCACTGATGTGGGGTTGGGTAGTCTGTCAGTCTGGTAAGGAGCCGGTTACAACTTTGGCGAAGAAGATCTGTGGTCAGGGCACCATTTTGAGGATGATCCAACAGTTTGTCGAGGAGTTGCTGTAAGAAGTGCAGGAATCTAGAAAGACAAGCGTTAGGAATCTCTGACTGAAGTTCGGTTGAAAGGCTGTGAAATGCAGGGTAGCATCAGGGATGACAAGAGAGGCTAGAGGCCTTCTAGAGAGAAATCCATGAGGCCTTGTGTAGCGTCTTAGATAGCAGGTGTCATTGGTTACTGGGTCTTCAGACTTAGAAGCTTCATCTCAGCAGATGCTTCTGCTAAGACATCCCCGGATTTGCTTTCCCTGTTCCAAATAGGGTACTGCACATCATTCTTAATTACACTGGTCCTACCCTAGATACACTGGGCTTTGCAGGTAGTCACTAGACCATTTTTCTATTTTCTGTATCATTCTAATAATCTGAGTACTTCTAGAATAATTCCACATCTCTGGTCTTTTTCTATTTTTGGTTCCATTCTTGGGTATGCTGAGTGTATTTCACCAGCAGGCATCCAGTAATATAAATACTGTGGGTAGTTTCCAGCAGTTCATTGCTTTGGAGACCCGAAACATTACTAATCGGGTAACCCCAGTAATGGGAAGGACAATTCTCAAGTCTTAAGAATGGGTGCCAGGGGACCAGAGAGATCGTTCAAGGGCCAGGGGGCACGTCCCTTGCATTTGGAGGGACAGAATTCAGTCTCTGATAGCCCTTGGTCCCTCAAGCACCAGTGGGTGTAACTCTGGAATCCACTGAGCATGGCTGGGATTGCCCTGATGGCTTTCAGCATCCCTTTGAGGAGCAGTGCCCTGTCACTGCACTTGAGCATTGAATTGTCGGGCGAATTGGTCATGTTGCTTGGAGTCCTTGTTCCCCCAGCCTCCACCAAAGAGGTAGGGGTGGAGTTACGAAAAGAGATTTGAAGAAACCTTGAGGGCAGAGTCTGTCTTTTCCAAGCCTTGGCTAAGTGATATGCCCTCCCTGTGCCTCGTCTTTGAGAGGTAGAGCTCTCTGAGTAGTAAGTTATAGATGATTTATACCATCTTTGTTAGGGAATGTTTCTTTCCAGGTCATGGTGTTTGCCACAGTGAAGCTCTCCCTGCTTTGCCCTGGAGTGGGAAGGAGGATTTTTGCAGGGCAGGAAGCAGAGCACCAGAAAGTTGGGCATACAGATAAAGGAATCTTCTTTATTTACTTTATTTCACTCACATTCGTAACAACTCAACAAAAAAGCACGTAGTTTTCCTTGAGATTTTGGAGATTGTTTTGGGTGTAGAAACAATATTTAGAACTGGTGAATTCCAGTCATTTTTCTAGAACTTTGGACTTTCTGGGATTAACAAGTCATTTACTCTTCAGAATTCAGATTCTTAAAAAGTCTGAATACTTTACTCATTGAGTAAGGTGGAGTACAAATATACTAGGTGTTTGTCCTGTGAGTATAACATCTTAGGTGCCTTGGGGACTGCACTCACCAGTCACCATGATATCAGAGAAGTGTGATACTATTCTAAGTGGTTTAGAATGGAGCTTTATTTATATCAGTTACCGCTAACCAATCTGAGAGCCTGCTCTATGATGGTCCTAGATGTGGTCCCCCATAAACTGTCAGGCTCTTCGTGTTCCCTGTGTCAATAAACATAACCTGGAATTAGGGTTCTGCATTGTTTTCAACTGCTAATGTTTAGCTTACCGGAACAATTGATTTGTCGGTTCCAGAAGTGAGTAAACTGACCTCAGGAAGAACTGTCCCTCCAGAAACAGTGCCTTGGCAGATAAACAGCAGTGTAGCTGGGGACAGATGGGAGGTTTGGTATTTATGGAACTAGAGAAGCAAGTGATTATGGAATTACTAGATTAGAAATTATCCTTTCTGTTTGAAGAATGATCTCTTTGACCTTCTGCTATGTAATTTTCCTTTGTGTTACTATTTTTCATGATCTTACTTTTGAAGTGGAGCCAATATTTTTATGGTAATATTTCCTTAAAGTTCTCCCATGACTGGATCAGCAGACCTCCCACTTGGTTGAACCCAAAGACCAGACCAAATATAGATACTGCTCCTCTATACAGAAATATTTTGAACAGGGGAGGAAGAGTGTCGTGACTTGATGAGAATTAGGTGCTGCTTTTGATCCAAATAATGAATGTCTTTTGCTTCTGAGATAGCCTGAGAATTAAGATGATGATGTTTTATCATGCAGCTTGAGAATACTGGGATAAACAGAAGAGGGGGGCAAGGGTAGGGGGAACGAAGGATTATATCGCAAATGGCCACAAGATAACAGAGTCTAGGGATTTCCTAATTGTATACATAAGTGATTTGGCTTGTTTGGGTTGCGTTTTTTTGTTTTGTTTTGTTTGGGGAGTTTTGCCCCATACCTGGCAGTGCTCAGGGGATCACGTGGCGCCAGAGACTATAACTAGGGTTCCTGTTATAGTCTGGCCTATAACAGGCCTAGCAACCTACTGCTGTCTCTCTCCGCTCCTGTGATTTTAACTGGCAGCTGTTCTCAAGTTGGAGTCTACATGTAATAAATACAAAGAGAGGAATGCTATGTAGTGGGAGGAATCATTTACAAATAGATGCTGGGGCCAGAGAGACAATAACAGCAGGGAGGACTCTTACCTTGCATGCTGTCGACCTGGGTTTGATCCCCAGCATCCCACAGGGTTCCCTGAGCCCTGCCAGGAATGATCCCTGAGCTCTGCTGAGCCAGGAGTGAGCACTGAGCAAGAAAACAGTCAATGAATAAGTTAACTTGTTTAAACAAACAAACAAGAAATAGATGCTGGTGTTATGAGTCATTCCAGGTACTTCAGAGTAATTTCATTGAGTTTCATTGCAGACTTAGGCTAGCACCCTGCACAGCCAACCCATTTACAGTGCAGATGCTGAAGCAAATGTCAGATTGGTTTTTTTCCAATAATCGTATACCTAGAAATCACCACTGTTATCACCATTGCAAAGAAAAGTGACTTCGCTTTCCAGTAGAATAATTACGCATCCAGAAGTTGGTTGGCTGTGTGACTTCTAAACTTCTGGTGTGTGAATAACAGCCACGGTGACCTCTGAGTTGGACTCCAGTTTAGTTCCTTGTCACTGCTGGTGAGAGGGTAAAGCATTACTCTGAAATGCACTTGAGCCCAGCCGGAGTTCCTAGAGTTCAGACTCAGTCAGCCTCAGGGATAGCACCTCCCTGGGCTCTGAAATCTTATATGCATCAAGTGCTGAGGAATCCTCTTTATGTGACTTATTTATTTATGTATGTATTCATGTATTTTATGAAGGGCACCATGTCATTTCCTGGCAGGGCCTTGAAATGGAAGAGAGTTCCAAGTTCTAACAAAGACAAAGCCCTCTTTCTCTTAAGATTCCAGTGCCTAAAGAAAGGAAACCTGAAGCCTAGGAGTTAGCGTCAGGGGAGTGAGAGGGTGTGGGCTGAGGAGGCTATTGGCCCCTCAGTAATATAGGTGGTGGCGGGCTGCTTAGCTCCAGGAAAGAATTTGCAGAAGCCACTGTCCTTCGCAAACCATGCTGAGCTATCCAAGTGTGCTTTGGAGAAGCTGGCCTTTCTGAAGATGCATTCGCACAGGAATCTGTGTTCCGTTGACTGCGTGACTCTGTTGGGCTGGCTGGTTCAGGGAATTTCAGAGACTGGGGAATATTTCTTTGGTATAATATTATATATTATTGTTCTGCAAAGTTATGATTTAGCCAAATCCTAAAGAATTAAAAACAAATCCATAAGAGCTAAAGAAAGGGAGAAGAGTTTAAAAGACTGTGCCTTGGGGCTGGAGCTATAGCACAGTGAGTAGGGCGTTTGCCTTGCACGCGGCTGAACCGGGTTCGGTTCCCAGCATCTCATATGGTCCACCGAGTACCACCAGGTAATTCCTGAGTGCAGAGCCAGGAGTAACCCCAGAGCATCGCAGGATGTGACCTAAAAAAGGCAAAATAAATAAATAAATAAAAGACTGTGCCTTGAGGGCCACTTGTTTCCTATCTCCATACTCATATTTGAACGGAGCTATTTTGAGACCTGATGCTATTTCTCACCGCCATTCATAGAGTCACTCCTACTCCACACTGGGTTCCTGGAATTGTGCAAAGGAGCCATTTATTATCTCTGATAAGCCCGGTTTAATCTCCGATGTTGTTTATGAACAACACCAGG